GGAAAATCTGCCCCCCCCCCCCCCGCCAGGGCCATATATTAATGACCTGAAATGTTCCTTAAGTGTCTCAAAGTGCACTTTGTGTGCCAAAGAGATGCTGGAAATATCTCAGCACCTTTTGGGCAGCTTTCTAAACTTTGTTCTGGCTGCGTGCAAACATCATGGACACTTTGGGTGGAAAGGCCACTTGCAAAGCAGAAGCACGAGCACTGAAGCCTTCCTTCTTGGGGAAGGCAAAAGATAAGGACAGAGCAGTTGGTTAAGCCAGGAAGCTGCAGGGATAGCCAAGGTAACAGCTGAGCTGCTAAAAGCCAGTGAGACAATTGTCAACAGTGTTAGAACAATTGCAAATGATACAAAGAAAGACAAGGTACTGGATAGCCGATGTCCTTGGCCAGTTGTAACAATACGAAGAAGAGAGATTACAGTGACCAAATGCTTTAGAGAGGTGAGTTTGCTGCAGGAACACGGTGAAAGCAGCTGCCAAAGGATTAAGACCAGTTTTAGAGAATGGGAGGTGGAATGGTAGGAGGAGATGAAGTTAGAAGGAAAATGGGATGTAAAATTCAGGAAAGGGACGGTTGAAGCGAAGGCAAACGGTAGGGGGGGACCCGGCAGGAGACATGGGGATGACAGAGTGCCAGGGAAATCCTGCCAGCACACCCAAGGTCAGCCCAACCTACAGGCCAACTGCCAAGTGGATGGCAGCATGTCGGAGGCAGGGTTATGGCCATGCAAGGTTTGAAGGAGGTACAGGTGTAGAATGGCAGAGAATGGCACGTCTGTGCAGTCCTTGTGTCCAGGAATATGTTCTGGGACATAGTATGCAGAATTAGGAAACTTGCACTAAGAGGCAAATGAAAGCTTTTCTCTAAAAGCGGCCCTGGAAATGCTGGACAGTGTGTTCGTGCTGAGGATGCACTCTACACTGCTAGCTCCTGGGGAGAAAACTTGTGCTTGGAGTACCAACTGTGTGCTGGTGTGTTTTGGCTTCAAACTCCTTGTGTGACCTTGTGCAAATCAATATAATCTAAAATATAGCTGTAGACAGCATCCATATCTTTGTGCTTGCTTCTAGTTCCAAAAATGAGCATTTAATGACTGCTAATTTCAGTGCACTGTGAACTTCAATCAGAAAAGGTGGTTTGGAGGATAAATGTGGGTCTGGACTTCTACTGGGGCTTCCAAATGCACCTTGAATAACAAGCTGTATTGACACCAGTGAAGATCCTGGAGGTCTTTGCAGAACCTCTGTTTCTTTAGATCTCCAGTACCATCAAAACACCTCCCACTCAGTGCCCTGCATCCTCCCTCTTGTAAAACAAGGTCATTACACAAAGACTATGGGGGTTGAATACACCTGCTAGTAGCACTGTGTTGTGGGGTTATTTTAAATGAAAGGACTTGGGTCCAGGAGGACAGCAACCCTAATCCACACACATCTTACAGCTATGTAATGTGTCATGCACAAAGCCCATGGATGGGGGATGGTTTTAGCTTCTGGAGGAGAGGTATTGCCAATGATGGGCATTTTCCTTGAAAGAAAACCTGTAGACCTGTTTGTGGTGGGGATGAGGACTGGGACAGGTGAAGCTGAGCTTGCATGCACGGTAACGTGGTCGTTACCCCAGTACCTGTGCTCGGTGGACACATGCTCTCTTGCAAATTGTGGCTTGCACAAGGCAGCTCTTCTAGAGATCAGAAGCCGGAGCATGAATTGGGGGAGCCTGACTGGAGGATGCCCCATGGGGGAGTCTGGGACCCTACCACATCCTCGTTACCGCTGACCTTGGCACGAGTGCTGCCTGCTGATGGATCGGCTACGGAGCTGGACAAGACCCTGGGGAACCACTGTATTATCTATTATCGTCCCATCAGTGCCTCCCCTGACCCCTCCCAGCTCCGAATGCCACAGGCATCAGGGAAGGAATAAATCTCTGTCTGATACTGAGAGAGAGAAGGGAGCGAGAGCAGGAAAAAGGAGAGATGAAAAATGTCCTTTTTATGACTCTCACAACAAAGCTGGCCACATGATTCGTAGCAAACATTTCTCTGGGAAAAGGGAGGGAGAGAACGGGGGGGAATCAGCAAAAAAGCAGAGCTGCTTCTCCCCCCTGGAAGATGCCCATGGGGAATTAGTAGAGGGGTATAGGTGACCTTTGAAGGTAAATATCCCAGGAAAGGAAAGGGGCCTCAAAGCTTCAGAAAGCTCACTCCAGCGTCTGACACTGCCTTGTGAAATGCTCCATGCAGCACACGTCCACCATGAGCGGAAAGCAGAGGCATAAGTGATCTGCTGTGCTACAGGGACCAGCAGGGCCAGGGCATGATTAATAAGGCACTAATAGCAACCACAGCATTTGTGTTCATTTCTATTTGGGATGATCCAGGAGAGCTCGTACTTGTGAGCCTGGGGAGAACTCCTGACCTTGGTGTCTTTAGGAGACAGAAGCCTTTAGCAGCGCAGCCCAGGGCCTGAGAAGGGGCTGGAGATATGTTGCCAGGGCTTGAGAACCCCCCTGCACACTACTCACGGACAGTTGCAAGACCACAAACGTGTTCCTGTGACAGCTGCTGAGTTGTTTGGGCCTTATAACTCCCTGTGCTGCTGTTCCCAGGGAGGCAGCCCAGCCCTGAGACTGCATGCTGGCACTAGCTGCAATTCCAGCTGTGCAGAAGAGCTGCAGCAGGGCTGTGGGTGCAGACTGGGTATGTTTGCACTGGCGTTCCGGAGATCGTCCCAGAACATCACCGTCATCAGGCAAGGTGGCTGCAGCCAGTTCCAGTGTGATGGGAAGGCACCTTTGCTCTCTGGCCTTCTCAGCTGTGCTGTCTGTGGGCTAGGGAATGACATGCAGGCTCTGTTCTTGGTGAAAAACTTCACTGCACCTGAGGTGTTTATCAAAGAGGACATTTCTAAAGGCAAGCAAGTGCTTGGAGTCATGGAAAAAGACTGTATGCCTTTGTTCTTTTCTTCTGTCTCCAGACAAGCATGTATCTTAGTTGTGAGTGCCTTCCCAAGTAGCAGCACTAAGAATGCAGTAGTACAGGGTTTAGAGTCTGAAAGCAGAAGCAACTTAAATCCATTGACAACTAAGTCATTTTTGACAGGGCAGGTCTTGCTGAACCTGGTCAGCTGTGACTAGGGACAGGCTTGGGCTGGCGAGCGCTCACCAAAGCTGGTATCTTTAACTTGCCAGTCATGGAAAAGTGTGTTAAATTCCCACTTTTACTGAAATGGCTGTAACAACTCCTTGGTAATCCCAGTAATTTGATTTTGTCTATAACGTGCTTTTAAAGTAAAGGGATAAATACAATCAGTCTGCATAAAAGGTAGCTATTAAGGCGCAGGCAAGTTGTACAATAATAACTTTAAATTAAAAGCCCTTTCCCACTACTTCTGCTGTTGTGGGGTCTGCAGATTTTCCTTAAAACTTTTGAAACGTGCCTAGACTTCTTACAGGCAGCCATTTAACCTCCGTTTATGAAGAAATAAAGCAAAATTGATGTTGATTTTGGTCTACATTGGGGGATACTTTTGCAACATAAAAGCCCTTTTGCCTGCAATTTGCAGAGCAGCCCTGTCACATCGGTGAGGGCTGATACTGATAAAGATAAAGCTTTATAGCTGGGGCATTTGCAGCTAACAGCAAGCTAATGCTACATTTTCATTTTGATGCAATTAATGTTAATGTCTGCTACGAAAATTGTCATTAAATACCATTTTAAAATCCATTCAATTTGCATATGCAAAGCCCATTTACTATCATGTAAAATACACGGTGCCGTTCATCATGTCTTTTCTCTAGAATTTGTAGCTGTTATTTTTCTGGTAGTGATTATTATCTAGCTCTTAAAATGAAACCTAATGTCTGGTCCAGACCTGCACAGAGCAAGAAAACCCTCCGTGCTCCAGCAGCAGCAGAGCTGCTTTGGAGCCTCTTTCAGAGGCTTTGAGCGCTTGTTTGTGCTGGACTCACACTGGTTCTTCTGGACCACTGTGCTCTTCAGCCTCACTCGTGCTCCTGTGGAGGACAGGCAGTGGAAGGACCTAGAAGTCAGTCTAAGGTGCTGATGTTCTCCCCTGAAGACTCCCTGTTGCACAATTCCCCATCAGAAAGCAGCACAGCAGGCAGTTAGGAGCTGGTACATGAGGGGGATGTTAAATGGCTTACTTCTAAATGTGGTACCTGTTTGAACCTCAGGCAGGACTCGCGTATGCTGGATGCTTTGTAAAAATCTTTTGGAAGACACTGCGATGCAAAAGACCTAACTTGGTGTGAAGACTTACACATCCTGCTGCATTGCAAGGGATGAATGGGTAGGCTTACGCCTTTCTAAAGGGGTTGCTGGGGGAGCAGCAGGGACCAGCTCCCCTCCAGCCCTTGGGAAGAAGCCCAAGAAAGGAGAAGAGAGCAGTGAAAAGCTTCTTTGCCTCCATCCTGCTGTACTACCAGTTTCTGCCCAATGCAGGGCGATGAACTAACAAGTGGGAGAGAATGGGATGAAGAACTTGAACTGATCCTTAACTGCACCGGAGTATTTCAACCAGTGGAAACAGGTAGAAATGCTGTTGCTCTGATTTTTCTGACCCTGGGAAGCCATTATTCTGGCTTACAACTCTTCACATTCCTTTAAGTTAAAGGATTGGCATTGAACATATTTTTAAGAGGTTCCAAGCTTTTGGTGCCACAGGTGAAATGGGGATGTATTGTGGCATGTAGATTAGATTTAGGTAGCTGATTATCTGACACACAGATGATATTTTGGGGACTGTGCTAGCTGAGATGTGGGGGAGATGTAGACATGAGGGTAGGAAGGGATAATCTCATTCTGAGAAGGGCCCCAAGCCTTCCCCCTTACCGTGCTGTGATGCCATAAGTCAAGTCTGCAGGTACTTTAGGAGGACATCTCTTGAAGCGGCTATATTCATCATCTTTGCACCGAATGTCCTTGGCCTTGTAGTACAAATTAAATTCGTGGGCTGTGGTATAACCGGCCTTCAGAGCACCACGGTTCATGGTGATGAAGTCTCGGGGCATCTTCTGAACTGAACCAGTTCTGGGCTTTACTGTGTTCCAGTGGCCTATTGCTGGAGATGGAAAGAAACATGAGAGTCAAAGAGAAAAAGATCAGGCAAAGAGAAAAAGATCAGGCATCTTGGGTAACTCCTATATGGGAAGGTGGGCTGATATTTGTGCACCATGCACAAGGGCCTTGTGTGGCTTGCATGCATTTTGCAATGGCTTCACTGTGGAGTGAACTTCATATCCTATTGCACTGCATTTCCTATGGGGACATCTCCCATCTGAATTGCATGTCTTCTCACCCTCCATCTTGGCTTGCTCGGCAAGTCTGATTTCACAGGGGAATTGTCCCTGAGACCACAAAGTAGGAGCTCTAACAAAGTTATGAAAGTGGCCACGTGTATCACCCTTTGCAAGTGCCATACCACTCTCTGCTTGGGCTCTGTGTGATCCTATAAAAGTTTCCAATGTGACAGAGAAACTTTACTAGTCACCAAGCAATTTGGGTAATATTAATGAAAGCGGGTGAATGTTGGGATTTCTTTACCTCCAGCTTGACAAGAAGTATTGAATAGCACAGGGAAGGAGAGGAGAGTGCTTATTAGCATTAGGACTTCCTTGCAGGTCTGTATTTGAGTGGCGTTGTCATACCTTCAGGGACTCCTCCATCTGTCCTGTGCACGTACAGCCCATATGAAAAATCAAAACCTGGCAGGGTGTAGCAGTTTCTCTGGGGCTTCCCCAGTTCTGCCTGCAGAAGAATGAAGTTAAAACAGAAGCATAAAAACCTTTCCTGATAAGTTAAAGCCCCTGAAAATAAAAATTTGTAACAGAACGTGGCCACAAGTACCAGGAGTAGCTCTGGCTCCACTTGGCATGGGTTTGAATCCCACTGTCCATGCACAAGTGAGAGTGACAGGGCAAAAGAACTCACAGCCATGAGGCTTCACCAGAGCTGAAGCCTAAGGGATGCTAAACTTCACACATTTTTACCTGAGTTATAAAGTGACCTAGCCTTGCTGGAAATAGGGATACTGACTCAATATATATGGACTTGAAGTCTCCTCGTTTGGTTAGTTTCTCCTTTGGCTAGGATGCCCAGCCGTGGTGTCTGCTGGGGAGACTGCAGCTAGTCTTAACTTTCCTTTGAGCTATTTCATTTCCAAGTTGTGCCTCCTCCTAGAAAACTGGTGTAAACTTCCCGAAGCACAATCACATTGCCAATCCTGCCTGGGAATAATCAAGACGCAAGGCATGTTGCAGGGGGAGGATAAGGGGGATGAAGAAAAGGGAGCAGAGCCTGGGGTTTATAGCACAGAAGAGAACTTGAGCTCAATAACCTCATTTCTGTTTAGTTTTAAAATGAACCCTTCCCCAGTCCATGTGTGTCCCAGCCTGGTGGTGTCTGTAGGATTAACTGACCTCCCCTCACCCCTTTGTCTCTACCCTCCCATCTCCATGGTGAAGTCACTGCAGGATGTGTGTGTCTTGAAACCTTATTGCTGCTTGAAAGGGAGGCGGTGGAGGAGGGAAGGGGTGAGAGCCTGGCAGCCTGGGTCTGTGCCTTCCTGCTAGGGGAAGCTGGAGCAGGGTCAGGCAACAAGTCCCCTGGAGCCCTGAGGCATGGTTTGGGTGCTTTGGGACAGGTTATTTTGCATGGGAAGGGTGTTGGAGGAGCTGGGGGGTTGTAGGTGTTGGCAAAATGAAAGTGCTGAAATCCTACTCTAGTGCTTCTCTACAGGTGAATCATTGAACATTAGCATTGAGATGACTGTTATTACACTCCAGAGTGAACACTCTCTGGATCAGGAGAGGCTGAATTGAATGCAGCCCTTTTTGCAGGGACCGAGTGAAAAGAATAAGACTGAAAATGAACAACCTCCAACTTGCCACTATGGCAGGTTGAGGCTGTACAGCGGTTGATAAGGGATGCAGCTTACCGGAGCTACTTGTATGGGAACATCAACCAAACCCAAATTTACGTTCTACTCCCAGACAGCACCGTGCAAACCCTGGCCAGGGCCTCGGAACAGCCATGGCTCTGCTGTATCTGGCAGCCTGGTGGCCCCTTTGCAATGTGCTGTTAAAGGGTACTCACCAAGTGTGCCTGATGCTGCTGAGCAGCTTCAGCTGTTCTGCATCACCCTCAGCTCAGGCAAAACTCTCACTGAGCCAGTTTTGCCTGGAGAGCGAGGGTTAATAACCCCTGCCCAAAACAGGCACTTTTCCAGAGGGCTCTGTGTTGAAGTCTCTAGAATTTGCTCATAATTGCTCAAACTTTTTTGCCTGGAGCCATTTTTTTGTGCATTCAGTTTGGAGTTTCTCAGCTCCCATCTCTATACTGCAGCTACACGAAAACTTGAAAGCACACAGTGGCTGTGGCACCGGGATCCTCACCAGCATGTCCAGGGCTGAGATCGTGCCTGCTGGCTTGAGTGACTTGTCTGTGTTGTGACAACAGGTCTGCTCCTTTGCAGATCCTGACAAACTGGCTGTCAGGTTTGCCAGTTTGTGATCATTGGGATCATTGGGCCTGCAAGCCCGTACAGTGATGTTTTCAGTTAAATCCATGGTCTTGCTTCTCAGGTCTGGGAGGGAGGTACTTCGTCTTGGTCCCCTTAAATCCATGCACTTGTGATGCTATAAAGCAGGTGTGGTATTCCCATGACTCTCAGGAGCAAAAGTTCACCAGAAAATGAATTTTCTAGACTAGCTAAGATCCTTTGATAGGCTTGAAAACCCCATCAGGCTCCTTGCCCTGTGCAAAGCTACAGATCCTTTGTTGCAAACAGACCTTTTTGAAAGCAATCGACTCAGCTACCTGATACAACCTGTGCATAACATGGCTGCATTCTCCCAGCTGCCTCCTGTGAACTTCTAGCAGAGGAAGGGACTGTCCCTTGCAGACGTGTCCAGCACCGAGCACGATGGGAGTGAGTGGGCTTTTAGTGCTACCGCAACTGAAATATCACACGGCGGTGCTAAACCATATGTGCATGCTGTGTGTGAGTTAGGGAGCTCAGGCAAAGTGTATAAACCGGTGCCAGGGATGATAAAGTAGCTTGCATTGCTGATCTATTTCTCCTGTATTTAGAGGCATTTGTACGCTAGCTATTTTTAGATTAGTTGTCACTGATATACAAGGGAAATGGTGTAACGTTCCTCAGATGCATGAGAAAAGGCTTTTTCCAGGGATTATATTCTGATACCGGATCAGCTAAGTGAGGTCAGAAATCTGCTATGATGGTGAAGGTGTGGCAGATGGGAGAAAATTGCTGAGAAACTGCAGGAAAGAAGAGAGGTTTGTAACCTGTGGCAAAGCTGCTTCCAAACCTTTGAATGCAGAACCCTATAGAATGGAAGAAATTACAGGATTTAAAGATTCTCTTTTGTAGAGCACCTGAAGTTAACACAGTTGGGTGTTTACTCCATTGCAAAATGAGTGCACGCTGTTTCCTTTTATGATCAGGTGGCATTTTACAGTCACTTTGCACTGAATAAATAAAACTGAAGGTGCTGGATAATTAATTAAAAAAAAAAAAAAAGTCTGGTCCAATATGTTGAACACAGAGAGAACCTGTGCCTGAAGAAAATCAATGGACTTGGAGGACTCTGGTTGCTTGCCAACATCTTTTACCCACAAAAGCAAAGAAGGGGAAGGAGGTAGCAGGAATGAATCTTGCTCAGTGTAATCCAAGATTACAGCCTTTCTCATTCATAAATTAGAAAAACGCTGTTGCAACCTCATAGGCTGGTTTCAGTTGTTTGTCCTGGGGCATTGTAGGTGTGCTGTGTCATAAAGCGGTGGGGAGAGCGAGCCAAAGTTGATGCAGAAGCCCACTGTTTTCTTCCCCAGCTCCAGCACCGTTTTCTGTGTTCAGGTTTAGCCTGTCACAAAGCTGCTTGGCTGGAATACAGATCTGTCTGACAGCTGTGCCCATCAGCAGACAACTTCATTAAACCTCATTAAGATGTCATTTCTCTGCCTTATTTCCCACCTCTTGGCTCTAATTAAAACCGTCTCTCTCTGCATCCCAGGCGGTCCTAATTTTCTCTGGGTACCTTCTGCAAGTTTTCTCCCTTTACGACCTCAGTGAGGAAAATCCAGCATCTTAAATACTGTTTATCCAGCCCTTTCGGAAAAGACAGCTCTAGACTTTTTCCTGAAGCATTCCCAGAGCATCTTGCAGAGATCATCACCTCCTCCCAGGGCTGCAAGAGACGTGTGCTGAGGCTTTGTTTGCGCTCTCAAACTGTCTTTAAGGATTCGGCTAATGCACCCTTTCCCCTTGGACACGATAATTTTCATGGTTGAATCTGGTGTGTCTGAAATGGGTTTGGAGGGTGCCGTGCTCAGACTGGCTGCAGTGCAGTGGTGGGGGTGTTTGATTAGTGGGGATACCCTGCTCAGTTGAAGAGTGAGTGGTGTTGAGTGTATCGAGCTCCCTGGCCTGTGCTAGGTAGTTTTTGATTTGTGCAGCCCCAGGTTTGAGGCCTGGATTTGTATCTGAGTGTCTAATGGGGTTGGAAAATTTTTGCTGTGAAAGAGGACAGCTCGGAAATGGGTCTGTTTGTAAGAGGTGGGCATGTTGCAAAGGTGTAAGGAAATACAAAACCTTTAAGGATTCCAGGGTTTGTTGAAAGACTTATTTGTGTTTCATCCCCTGGTATTTATGGCCCATTGACGCACATTGCATCAATTTTCTAAAGATGACTGAGACTGTGAGAGGGGTAGGAGACGTGTCTGCGCAGAGAGGTACAGCGAGAGATGGAGGCATGGGTTTTTAATCCCTGCATCTGAGGCAGCCCTTCACTGGGAGGATACGCTGGGCAAATCCATGAATCTTCTCTGCTTTGACTCAGCCAGGGCTCCCCTGTCCCCTCCTTGAAGGCTCTGCCCTGCGGACGCCTGCAAACCCTGCACCGGTGCATTTTCAGCCTGCCAGGCACTGGTTCCTTCCCTACCTTCTGTTCCCCTTTTCATTACACCCCCTTGTACAGTAAAGCCTCCCGTCACGCTGCCATTACTATTATTATTGCAGATTTACTGCACTTGCAGAGTGAAGTGATTGCGGTGACAAGGCCCAGCATTTTTCCTTCCTTCCCCCCGCGACAGCTTGAAATCAAGCCCTTCATTTGCATTTACATGATCTTGCTGTGCAGCTTATGAGATCGGGAGATTTATTTGCTACTTAGCTTGATGTTTGATTACACTCTAAGAAGGCAGTGAGCTACAAAGTGCAGGGATACATCAGAACTGAGCTACTGAAAGCCCCTGGGGGACAGTAACTCAACATCAGGTTTAGGTAGATGAGAAAGGGAATGTTCAGTGTTTTGAGAAAGGCAAATTTGATGAGGTTTTTCTTTAAAGGTGGAGGGAAAAACTTACTTTCCCTCTCTGACAAAAAATGGTTGGGAAAACAAGAATGTTGTTACAAAAACACACCTGAAAATCTGGATTTGTTAGTGCAGAAGAAATCCTAGCAGGGGCTGGTGGCTGCTGGGCTGCCTGCCGCTAACTGCTTGTAACTTCCACTCCCAAGAAGATTATTAATAATAAGTTGGCAGTTATCTTCGAAGCTTTTCATAAACATTAAAGGTCAAAGTTGAAGTTTTGCTTGATGAAGGACCATGAAATCTGTCCCTGTTTTATTAAGCTTCAAAACATGCCACCGAGCACTAATCCTGCTGTAATATTGGGGAAATTGAGGCAGGGAATCAGTGTGCCCATGCAGGATAGCAAAGGGAATA